ATGGCTGTCAGCTCTTCTTCATTCCTGTCAATCGTCAACTGAGTTGGTGTTGCGACATCGAGTTGGATGAGATCTGCTGGTCGTCTTCCGAATGCGAGCTCTAATGGTGTTACAACCCCGTAGGTGACAGTCTGATTGCTGACAGTTGCAGCTGCCTTCACCAGCTGTCTGTGTGTCACTTTCTTCAGTGTTGCAGGTGCTGTTCCTGCCTTGATGGAACTCAGCATGATTTGAGTTGTGCCTTCAGGAGTCGAACTGCTGCTTCAGCTCGATTTGGCCATGGTGTGTTTGGTCCCAATGATATCGGTGTGATGTCAAGGGATTGATAGAAATGTCCCCATGTCTCCGTCATGAAGGCTTGATCTGCGACAACTGATTTTGGCTGCAAATGGTACTGGCCAAAATAGTTCCTGAGGACAGTGATGTTCTCGACTTCTTGCGTAGTCGTCACTGCATCTGCAGTGAGCAATGTTGTTGCTCCATCCAGGATGACAAAAACAATGATGTGTTCTCCTGTTCCAAGAGGAACTTGACAGTGTCATGTCACCAAAGGTGTCCGCTCGAAATCCACTCGTCTTGCTTCGTGATGGTGCATGTTTTGCCGCTTGGCAAACTTCACATTCACTTCGGGTTTTGTCAAATAGATCGAATGTCGATTTCGGCAAATGAAGTGAGCGAGTTCTAAATCGAAATTGATCTGTTGTCATGTGGTGATGCTGGAGGTGGAGCTTCTTCAACTCTTCGGGGTTTGACAATCGCTTGTGGATTCTTCCTAGTGCAAGCGGAAGCGTTGTAGGTTCTTCTGAGGATGGTGCGAACGGATCTGGCTCAATGGTCGACCGGCCCTTCTTGTCGATGATCCTGTCTGCTGCCGATCCTGAGCCTGCTTCTTCATCCTTAAGCGAATTGTCCGCGAAGGTGAAAATGGTCTTACCTATCCACAGGTTAATCATAGGTTTGTTTGCCTGGGACGTATCCAATTGTCTTCTAGGATGTCTGGATCTCCACCTTCGGATGCATCAATGATTTCCGTAGTACGCTCTCGGCTGATGTTATCAGGATTGATTGGACATTCCTTGGCTCCATTTGGTGTGAACAGTGCCTGATGTGCACGCGGATGAGCTGCTTGTTCTTCTTGTCAAGGATCCAATGGTCCTGCTTCTGAGGCCCAATGATTTTAGGAGTTGCTAGGCCCTCCTTCGTCTCGGATGATTTTGCTGCACAAACAGTTTCACTCTTGGAGATATCCCCGGAGGGAAACTTGATTCTGTTATCATCATCATAGACGTAGTTGGTGAGGCCCTTATGAGCAATTTCTCCATGTGAATCTTTACTCTTGCAACTCCAGCGAGATCGACGAGTGCATGTCCTGTACCGGATACCGGAACTGCTTGCCGGTTCATGCCAAAAGCCTTGCGTGTGATTTTGTCACATTGAGGTGTGTGCTCTATGGTCATGTAGAGGTTCCGCATCTGACTGATGCTGAGGAGGATCGGTACAGTTCCTTGCTCAAGGACGTCGATGTTGGTACTGCATGGAGGAGTTGCGTGATATCGAAGATGCAGGGTCCAATTTACCCTGGCTGTTTCTCCATTTGCAAAAGTGAACTTGGTCTCGGCCGGGATGTACTGATCGGAGATGATGTCCTTCATTGGTTCGATGGCCTGAGTAAAACGCTGGATTGCATGCCAGCTGCCCATGGATCTGGTACATCCGTTGTCCAGGATCGCATAGGTTGGATTGTGCTGAGGGTTAATAACAGGCGCCATCAGCTTTGTTGCCAAAAGGCTGTGATTTGTTGCGACGGACAAATTGTGTTCTGAAACTGCATCTGATTGGATCAGCTTCCCGTGGATGGCCTCTTTCTCATGATGCTCATATGCGTCATGGAATGCCATTAGCGCTTGTCCTGTACTGGATGTCTCATGGGATGAGTGCCAGCCTTGTTCGTTCCATGGCGGCAGCTGGGCGGGCATCGATAAATTGAGTGTTTCCTCCGTATAGCCTTGTGGTTTGGCCATACTTGAATAGGCTTCCATGAAGCCTTCTCCATCGGATGACATCTTCCCTTGGCCCTTGGATCTCTGCGGAAAACCCGCTCCGCTGCCACAAATTGAGGCCCACTGCCTCAGGCGCCTATCCCAGAAGGGAACTGGTACCCTGTGGTAGTAGAGGTCGTTGATTTACAGTCCAATATGCCAATATGGGATTGTCCCTGGTGGCTTGACTTCACTGATATTCCTGCTAGCGGTCTCTGGTACTGCTATCGCATGAATGCAATATGCTATATACAAGAGCGCCTTGTTGCAGGAGATCAATGGTGTAACAAACCAAACACAGGGGGGCGGCGGCAGCCACCCCACATTATGTTTGAAGAAGTGTTGATTCAATAGGGGTGCAACTTCTCTGCTAGCAATCTAAACAGTAGCGGGTGGGTTGTGGGGGGGGGGGGGCTCCCCCCCAAGATGATGTTCGAAGAAGTGATGGTTCAAATAGGGAGGAACTGGTGATGCTGGTGATGCGGGAAGCCACATTTAAAAAAACAAATGAAAGGGTGCAAAAGCCACAAAGCCCGGACAGGAGCTGGGTGCGAAGAGGAACTGGGAATGCAGAGGATGCGAAAGGCCAAAGCCAAGAAGCCGAAAAGCCCAGAAGCCAAGAAGCCGAAAAGCCAAGAAGCCAAAAAGCCGAAAAGCCAAGAAGCCAAAAAGCCAAGAAGCCAAGAAGCCAAGAAGCCAAAAAACAAATCCGAAAAAACAACAAAAAATCCAAAAATAAATACCCCTCCGAGTTCTTTGGTGCGATTGATGATCCAGCGGTGGTTGTTGACGTGTCCTCTATTCTCGGCAGTCTCTGCTGCCGGCGGCAACGGAATACCAGTTCGCCGTCCTGGTGTCGTGTTGTTTGCGAAATGCTGCTAGATCAAACAACGCATGATTACTCTTGGATACCGGTGTGGGTTGTCGTATCATACCGAGCGCCTTACACGTGATCTTGTCACATTGAGGAGTGCGCTAAAGTTTCCGCGTCTGATCAACACTGAGCAGAATCGGGACTTGCGCTTGCTGTAGGATATGTAAGTGGTGAAGTGTTGAAGAAGAGCCGGAGAGTCCACAAATGTGAGCCTGGTGTTGCACGGGGTATACTCGTACTTCATCCGGTGAGGATATGGTTCAATTGCCTTGATGAATCTCTCCGCTGCGCTGCATACCAACTGCCCATTGATGATGGGCGCCATGAGTTTTACTGGCCGAAGCTTGAGCTGGATTTGGCGTTGCGTGTGGAGTCATGTTGAAAGTCACGCCATTTTGAGCGCGTCGACTTGCGCAGAACCAACTGCTAGATATGCCAGGAACCATTGTTTTGGGCTACTCTTCCACTCTGACAGTCATCCTATCCTGATACGACTCTGCTGGTATGTCAACAGGAGGCTGTGTGGCTTCCTGTGCTTTGGCATTGTGATCCATGGTGAAGGTCGCGGTCTTCCTTTTTCTTCTGTCATCATCTTTTTGTTTTGTCCTTTGATTTGCTGAAAGGTTTTCCTTTCCCGTTTTGATACCAAGGTTGCGGTTTTCTTTCCTGAAGGGTTGGAACCGGCCTCTTTGGCGCTCCTTTCTTGCCTTTTCGCGCCTTGCCGGACTTGACAAGTCTGACATTGAAATCTTTTGAGAACAAACACATCGTGGTCTTCCAGCTGCCAGAATGCTTCTTCATCGTCTAATGGACAACAACCCTCTTCGTCTTCAACCCAGAATATCTCCTTGTTCAAGGATATAGAAGGTCTTGGATCTGCCTCCGCCAGCCGGACGGACATTTTGGATTCTGAAGAGCTTTTTATGATGAAGAAAAATGTCAATGTATTATCTGATAATGGGAAAGCCTGCGAATGCTCCTGTTTCTTGCCTTGGACAAATCGTTCAAAGTTTTCTTGGAGCGCTGCGTCCGGGGTAAATTGGATCATCATGGATGCTGCGGCTTCTTGCGGCAGGCCCGTCATAGCGGCTATTTCAGCACCTACTGATCAAGCATTCTTTTACTTGCGCAATTGACTGCCTGAATATACTCAGGACTTGTTTGGGTGAATCCGGGAGCTGTGTCCTAGCAAGATAGAAGAAGCCGGCAGCCTGGAGAATCCCGAAATTACTGGCAAAGATGACGAATTCAGTGTTACCTCGGCGATGAAGAAACTGAGGAATCTGTAAAGGAATGCACGCGCGCCCCTCAAGAAGTATCTGCTCCGTTTTCTGGAGCTCACAGTAAAAAGATGCGTCCTCGACAAGCCGGTTCTTGAGAAACGGATGTGAAACCGTGAATGTAGTCCAATCCCGTACCAGATCTTCATACCGAAAGCAACCAACACGGCCGTCATACGATGGAGGCAATTTTGCACTCATCGAAAGATTAATGGTCATGGAAACTCACGGCGGCTTCCAAGGAAAGCCGCTGCAGGTGGTTCTGCTCCATGGAAGTCCTGTTCACTCGACATCCTGCTTTCAACAAAAGTGCTCCGCTGCCACAATTGAAGTTATCTACTCCGACGCAGAAGGAAAATATGTATTGAAGAGGTGAATGACCAAATGGAATTGTAAGAAGTGTTTGGTTCCAATCGGAACAAGCGTAAACTGTACCGCAGTCAGCAAAGCGCAGGCTTTTTGTCTATGAGCTAGAGATTGCACAAGAAAAACACACACTCTCATTAATGGACAAGGATGAGAAAAATCAACAGCGCAACAATACAGATGTGGGGGCTTTAGTGGAGCCACCCCACACCTACCTTGAACCGCTCAAACACCACCACTGTCGAAGCCAACTTAAGCGCACGCTAAAGTGGCCGGGCCAGAGCCGTCCCACCAACCCGCCAGCCAGCCAGCCAGCCAACCGGCCAACCAACCAACCAACCAACCAACCAACAAACCAGCCAACCAGCCAACCAAGCCAACCAAGCCAACCAAGCCAACCCAGAAGTGCCAGGGCTGGGCCCTTTTGAGCAAGATACACATTTAACCCAGCTCACGCTCTCTTGGATTGTTGCCCATGCTGAGCCTGAGCTTCCAAAGAAATGCAAAGGCGCGGTCGTACTTCTGCATGGCTGCCGGAGTGAACACCACCTCGCTCGCTTGGCAATCGGTTGACTTCCTTGATGCTTCATTTGTTTCTTTCGAGTGGCATGGAGTGGGGAATTGATGGAGTAGTCCAGAAGGAAGATATCCCATCCGCGCTCACCAGCTGATGGGCTCAGCAGCTTGACGCCCAACCTCGCCAGCACATCCGCTGCGCAGAACTGGGCATTGGACTGGCGAAGTGCCTCAGATGGAAGGACACAAAGAAGGGAAAGGGACCACGGTCCAGGGAGGGATGAAACGGGGATGAAGATGTAGATGGGGACTAACGAAAACCACAAATCAAAATCGAAAAAGGGAAAGGAAAAATTGCGCGAATGAAAAGAGTAGACAAGCAAACAGAGCCGTTTCCGGGAGAAGCGAACTGCCAGGAGGCCATGTCCAAGACGGCCATGAGCTGGTGGCGGTGCACCTTCTTGGCATCCGCATTCAGCTCCTACCCGAAATTTGCAAACGACAAATCGGAATTCGAACCGAGATCGAAAGCGGAAGCGGCTCTGGTGGGATTCCGCTTTTGCGCCTTGTTGAGCTCTCAAGATCTCTCACATCACATTGGCCCTCTGCATGCGTCTCAGCTCCGAATTGCCTCGGAGCGCCCTCATACACAAGGACATTCCTTTGAGTTGATTTACGTGAAGCAAAGACATGAGCTTGATGGCATTTTGTTGTACGGTCCTCTTGCGCCGCATCCATGAGACTTTCGATGAAGTCCCCCTGGCCCAAAAGGAGGAAACGCCTGGCGGAATGAATGACACTCTGCACATGCAAGCAACCCCAAGATACATGCCTCAAAGCCAGGGCATGTTCACCTTGGCAACTGGAATGCAGAATTTGAAGCATTAGAACAATTTGAATCCGCCGGCGCTGCCGGCGTGTCTTGTGGATGCTCTTGTATGTGTAGTCTTGTTTGTGTTTTAGCGCTGTGTTGTAGAATTGTTCTTTGGCGCGGATTTTTGCCTCGTCTAAACTGACGTCACCCCCCCCCCTCCCCCCCGTCCGGCTTCTTGCGTGGTCTTCCGGCTTCTTCCGGCTTCTTCCCGTAGTCTTCCGGCTTCTTCCCGTAATCTTCCGTAGTCTTCCGGCTTCTTCCCCCCGCAATCTTCCGTCGTCTTCCGGCTTCTTCCCGTAGTCTTCCGTAATCTTTCCGGCTTCTTGCGTGGTCTTCCGGCTTCTTCCGGCTTCTTCCCGTAGTCTTCCAGCTTCTTCCCGTAATCTTCCGTAGTCTTCCGGCTTCTTCCCGTAGTCTTCCGTAGTCTTCCGGCTTCTTCCCGTAATCTTTCGTCGTCTTCCGGCTTCTTCCCGTAGTCTTCCGTAATCTTTCCGGCTTCTTCTCCTAGTCTTCCGATAGTGTTTAGGGACCGAACAACGCGCGTTAGGACTCAATCGTGTGTCCTGTGCTTTCGGGCGGCGGCCGGCCTCATTGGTCCAATCAGGGCCTGCTTCCAAAAATGCACAACAGCGCGCCTCTTCCAGCACAAACTGCGCTTGGTCTATCGCATTTTTCTTCAACTTCAAGTTTGTGACGAAGCCGCGCAACTCAGACAAGACCTCAACTGCACCCCTGGAAGTAATTCTGTAATTCTGTTTTCATCCAAGTTCAAAGCATCAAGCGTGGAGCGTGTTGCTCGAAGTAGGTTGAGCAGCTCGACCAGGAATTCGTCGTCAAGGTCATTCTTTGAAAGGTCCAGGGCACCAACAAATCTTTCCAAGGCCCCGTGGCCCAAATAGAACTTGCACGCACCTTTCGGAACTCTGACGCCTTGCAGCATGTGTACCAGGACTCCACCAGAGACCTTTCAAGCAGACCTGCGCGCGAAATGATTGACATCCTTCAGCCTCCGTCAACTTTGGATCCGCTCCAAATTTATCATACCTGCTTGCTTCTATTCTCAAAGCGCCGTCTTCGAACCATGCTTTCACTCCCCCGCTCTTTTCTGGCAGCTGTGAATGTGAATCGTCCTCTGGCCTGTCCTCAACATCCGATCTCCCAAGCTCTGCTTTCACCCGCTTGGCAGTCTGCAAGTGCGTAGCTTTGTTTGGTCCGGCGATGAAAACTTCTGGGATGCCCTCGGCCCTTCCGAAATGCTCCCAGCAATTCGCCTCCGCAGCGCTCAAGACCGTTTCGGGGACCTCCTCATAGCTCAGGCCGATGTAGCCTCTGACCTCGGCCTTCTTCTTCTTCCCGTAGTCCTCCATATATAATCTTCCATAGTCTTCCCGTAATCTTCCGTCGTCTTCCAGCTTCTTCTCGCAGTCTTCCGTAATCTTTCCGGCTTCTTCCCGTAGTCTTCCATAGTCTTTCGGCTTCTTCCCGTAGTCTTCCGTAATCTTCCGGCCTCTTCTCCTAGTCTTCCTACGCTTCAGGTAGTCTTCACCCTCCGCTCCCCCCCCCCCCTGTCTCTGTCTATGTCTGTCTACCTATCTGCGTCTGTCTTCGTGTCCGCGAAGACCCCCCCCCCTGCCCCTGCGTGTCTGTCTGCGTGCCTTTGTGTCTGTCTGCGTCTGTCTACGTATCTGCGTGTCTTCGTGTCCGCGAACGGGTCTGTGCACGCGTGCTTTCTCTCGTCCCGGGCCGAAATTCTGAGGTGTGTGGGGGCGGCGGAACCAGGCGCAACACCCAACACCCAACACAACCTTAAGCACAAGCACAAGCGCAAGCAAGTAAGCGAGATCACGCGTGCTTGCTGCGCTTGCGCTTCGATTGTCTTAAGCTTAAGCACAAGCGCACGTAAGTAAGTGAAATCGCGCGTGTTTGCTTGTGCTGCGCTTGCGCTTCGCTTGTCTACGCTTCAGCGGGGCGTGGGGGGGGGGGGGGGGGGAAAAATAGGCGAAATGGCATTTGTAACATGAAACCCAACAAAATCAAACAGCATACAACAAAATACACAATCCACAGAAAACAAGATAAGAACTACCAAGCAACTCAAAAACCAGAACAACCCCCAACAAAATATTTAATCACAGCATACAACATTAAACAATTCAAACAAGCATACCAACAAAACAGCAAAAATAACAACCATCAAAGAACACAAACTCAAAAGCACACACTAACAAATTTCAAAGCAGTATAACAACAAAAAATATCAGAAGAGTATCAAACAAAATAAAATGCAAACAGCCAAAGCACGAAAAACTCAAAAGAGCATACCAGGTTCAAACAACGCACTTTGAAAGAGGTAACCAAATCAAGAAAATTAAAATATTTCAATCTTTACAAACCATAAGTATAGTATAATTACAACATACAAGATTTTACATGTTATAATTATATCACAATTAAGAAGTAAGGATTAAAATAATTATCAGGTAATAGATCTTCAAATATGTAGCCTTCATCTACTGATTGTCTCCCTGAAAGAGCACAAAGCTTGCATTTGGAGCTGTCCAAAAAGGGACAAACACCATACACCAAAAGCGGTGTACGCATGCACCAAAAGCGGTGTATGTTAAAAAGGGGCCTGTTTCCGGTGGTGGGCAGCCTCAAATTATTTCACCAACCAAACTCACCAAAATTTCACTGATTAAACTACTAGGTATTTTATATAAATCTTCCTGCTTATGTATTATTGGGTTGTCTCCCCAATTTTCCTTGTTTCCATTTGGCAGTCTCTCTAATTTTCCCGCAATCCCTTAGTCCAAAGCCTTGTTCGCTTCCTATAATTCATCCCATATTTACAATAATCCACATCATAGTATTTTAAGCCACTCATAAACGCTTGTTCCTTTAATAGTCCTGTTTGTGGATTTTCTATTATCCAGCATTTAGGTTTGAAATAGTCAATGATTTCAAGGGTTCTCAAAACAATAGCATTTGCATGGTCTATTTTCTTGACCCCTGTTGTTTTTGCTTTGCTGTATTCGGTGCAAGGTGGAGATGCACAGATAAAATCAAAATGGCTCCTATCAAATTGTTTGTAATCCCATTTCAAAATATCAGCATTTATATCAGCATTTTTCAAATCCAATGAAATAACATTGAAACCCATTGCTTTTGCAACAAGTCCAACACTACCTGTCCCACTAAACATCTCTAATAAGTTCATTATTAAAGATATTTAGATAATATTCTCTATGAATAAATCCCTGTTTCCTCGTTAAAAACTAAACTATGTTTAGTTTTCAATGAGTAAATGCAACTTTATGAATAAAGTTGAGTTTCCTCATCATAGTCAATTTGGCAAAATGTCATAGTTGAAGACTTCGGTTCTTTAATTTCTTTGTTATTTAGTTTGTTTAAATAAATATTTCTTTTATTTTTATATTCACCATTGGTTCTATCTACTTCTTTACTTTGATAACTGTTTGTTAATGGTTTCTTCTTCTCCATTTCTTGAAAGATTTCTAAAATATTCTTATTCTGTTCTAAAACCTTGTTCAGTTGTTTGACAATCTTTTCTAATCCTTCATCCATGTAAATATATACTATATTATAAAACTAAACTTTTAAAACTAAATGTTGCAATTATGTTAAATCTACTCTCTAAATACTAACTTTTCATCATTTCACGTATAGTTTCCTGAGTTTCCTTATCACCATTATCGGATGGTGATGCATGCCTTCCCCATTTGATAGCAATATTATGAACATCTGTTTCTAAGTTTATACTGTCTTTAGTTTTATCAATATTCATTTTCTTATCATTTTTACTGATTTTCAAACTTGTTGGAATACACGAACATTTACAGTTTCGTTTCTTTTGTATTTCTAATTCGTTCTTCATTTCTAACATCTTTTACACATTGGACAAGCAAACTCAATAACTGATGTTTCTTTAACAATTTCTTCTTTTTCTTCATCAGTTGAAGAAACAACTGGTTCAGTCTTATTCCTTTTCTTTCTTCCCATCTATATTAATATTTATATTTGTAATATATTGTATCACAAACTTAATTAATTCTAAAACAAAATAGCATACTTTCTTACATCTATTATCAGTTATAACAACTTGTTCTATATTCTCTACTTTATCTAGTATATCAATATACTCTGAACAACTTCTATTCATACAAAATAATAAATATAAAATATTTTCTAAATAACTTTAATATTATTTTATTATGTGTGATGTTCCAATAAAAAACCAATAAATAAAACTGATTACGATTTCAAACAATCTAAATATGAACATGTACCAAAACTACCTTTTCGCTCAATTGTTGTTGCTTCATCAACGGGTGGCAAAACAGTTTTAATCCAAAACCTTATCCTAAATGTTTATAGGGACTGCTTCGCTCGTATATTCGTTTTTAGCCCGTCAGTTCATAATGACCCTACCTTTGTTGAAATCAAGAAATACCAAAAAGATACTATGAAGGTTGATGACGAAAAAGAAAAGTTATATTATGACACCTACCAACCTGAAAAAACTGGAAGAAATAATTAACACACAAAGAAAGATAATTCATTATATGAAAGAACAGAAGATGAAGAAACTACATTCAATTTTAATCATAGTTGATGATTTTGCAGACGACCCTAAATTTGTTAGATATAGTAAGTTACTTCATGGACTGGCAACGAGAGGTAGACACGATGCCATTAGTTTTTGTTTAAGTGTTCAAAAGTATCGTGTCCTAGCACCAATCATTAGGTTGAATTCTAGTTCGTTGTATATCTTCAAGTTAAAGAATGTATCAGAGTTAATTGAGGAAAACTCTGCCGTCGTTGATAAAGAGCATCTGTTAAATATGTATCTTAAAGCGGTAGATGATAAGCCCTACTCCTTCTCTGGGAGGGATGATGTTCCATGGGGCGGGGGATGGTGTCAGAGCAAATCATGTCAAACCCATGCAAAACCGTGCAAAA